ATGGGTATCTACCCAACCGTCTCCAACACACTGACGTGGGCTTCCAACAACGTCGAGGGTTCGCTCAAGCGTGGTGTCATGGTCGGTGTTGTTGTCGGCTGGGGTAACATGAACGGTGTTGTATCTTCCAACATCTACGACCCCAAGGAGAAGCCACACTACCGCACTGGTCACGGCATTGTCCTTGGTTATATGGCCTTGTTCCTTTTCGGTGGAACTGTCTTCATGCACTTTGCATTGGAGCGTGAGAACAAGCTCAGGCTGGCGGGCAAGCGCGACCACTGGGTCGAGGGCAAGTCTGAGCAGGAGATTGCTGATTTGGGCGACATGCGACCAGACTTTATCTACACCACCTAAGTCGTTTTGAATATGTGGTTATAGTTATTTTAGCGACCTGTCCTGTATGAGTGCCTTTGACATTGTTGAACGTACAACGATACCCGCGATATTGGGTAGTCTACCTGGGATCCAATTCGCTCGAACGAAGAATGATAGCATAGAAAGGGAAAGCGTGTATATAATGTATGTTCATTGTACAGGAATCAAAAGCATTCGTACCTTGAACTTTTGGCGAGCAGCTGTGGACGTGTTATTGGTGACTGTTACCCGGCCGAGAACTTGTGAAATGTAGAACCGATGGCGTCAATCTTACTCTTGATAGTCCCGGGCGGCAAGTTCATGAGTGGTGATGGTATGAGAGGAGACGTGACATGTGAGGTGAGTCACGGTCACGGCCGCGGATGGATACCAACAAAGCAGTGGCGTCACTCAGGCTGAATGGGAAGGAGCACCTCATAACACATGTCAGCAACAGCATACGTAAATAGCACTACTCTGTATACAATGGCCCTATGTGGCCCGAGTTCCCCACTTACCCCAGAGTATCCACTTCCCTTGTATGATCTGCACCCTTAACTTTGACTTGTCTAGACCGCGCCTCGGGAGCGCAAACCCGTCTTGACAGTGATCGTCAAGACACTTTACCGAGGTGTTCACCGCTGAGCACTGTCAGTAAGCGCAAAGAAAAGAGTTTTCGTATTACTATGGATCCCTGGAAATTTAAAATTCGAATTGAGGACAGGGTAAGCTGTACAAGAGACTAGTACTAAGGTCAGCGTGCTAGTCAGCCATCAATGTAGAAAGCACACGTATCTTTGTATTAGTCACACAAAATGAGGCCTCTACTCACACTTACTCTGAACATCAAGTTCACATCAAAAAAAACGCCATACTGGCAGACTTTCCACTCCAGTAACGCGGTCTCCGCTACCCACATCATGTCCATACGCATACTTCCGAGTCCACTCTAACCCATCAGACCAGCCCCTCCGCCCTGTATCAATCCACCTTTCCGCTCCTCCCTCTGCTGCTGCCACAACATCCTCCTCTGCCTCATATCCTCCATCAACATCCTTATATCGTGGATGAGCTTGTCAGCTAGGAACGCCCAGTCACATTCCTTGTGCCTTGCATGTCTGGAAGAAACGCCTCGAGAGTATTGATACCGGCATGTCGAGGGCTGTTGCAGCTGGTGGTAGGAGGAAGCGGTGAAGTTGTGGGGCGGGAACATAGTTGCTGGACTGAAGGTGTGTTCCATGATATCTTTGGCAAAAGAAACAGTGGATGTGTGAGGGGCAATATAGGCGTGTGTAACAATGATTTAGATTCTGGGGATGGAATGATGCGATATTTGTATTGATGAAGGGAACGACAAACGATCCGGACGCTTCAATTTCGTTCGCCATGTCAAAGTCGTTTGATGAGTGTTGTATGAGCAATTGTATTAATAGAGCATCTGTACACAGCCACACCCAACTATGTAAAAATAATACCTCCATCAATAACAATCGTCTGGCCCGTCATGTAATCACTATCCTTGCTACACAAAAAACTTACCGTACTACTAACATCCTCCGGTACACTCGTTCTGCCTAGCGCGATCAAGTCCTGTGTGTACTTTTTGATCGTCTCGCCCTTCTTTGCCCCGGTTATTTCGCCCAGTTTCTCGTCAATCAGTTCCCACATGGCGGTACCCACAATACCAGGTGCGTACGCGTTGACTGTGATTTTGTGCTGTGCCATTTCCATGGCGAAAGCCTGAGTGAGTCCGCGGACAGCGTATTTGGAGGCGCTGTAATGGGAGAGTAGTGGAAAGGGTCTGAATGCTACGATGGAGGCTGCACCGAGGATCTTGCCTCCGGTCCCCTGCGAGATCATCTGTTTGGCAGCGGTTGAGTAGCAGTTGTATACGCCATAGACTGTGGCTTGTTAGAATGAAGCTAACGCCAGATTTTGTCAAGACGTACCATTTACTTCGAACATACGCTTGAAGTCCTGTTCTGTCAGGTCAAGCAGGCCTTTGACCTGGGCGATTCCGGCATTTGCTACCATTGTGTTGAGCGATCCCAACTCAGACACTGATGCTTGTACTAATGACTGGACTTCGCTCAAGTTTGATACATCAGCAGTGTATACTATAGACTTGCGGCCTATATCCTGAATCTCTTTGGCGACCTGTTCGGCCTCGGACTTGTTGGCTGCGATGTCATTGATGCAGACATCATATCCGTCATTTGCTAATCTTAGAGCAATAGCTTTGCCGCTGTTCAGAGTGAGCTAGCTTCGACGCGTTTCACGGAAGAATTTGACAGTCTCACATTCCACGTGCAGAACCTGTGACAATGGCTGTTCTTTTGTCGTGCGACGTGACAGCATAGTTCCGTGTCCATCGAGGGGCTTGACTTGATACCCGCGGAAGAGGCGTAACCTTTAGCGAGGCACGCCAAAGTATTCCTGCTGGGAGCCGAATAGACATGGTGAGTATCTGGCACTGTGAGAAACGTGGATGAATGAGTAATACTTCGAAAGATGGGACGAGTGCAAGATCTATTAGAGAGCGGGAGACATGTTGAGGGCAGTAAATCAAGTTCTATTTAATGTACGACGTGTACTACCATTCCCCGCACGAAAGATACGGGAATGCCCATGAGGATTACCCGGATATGCGGAGCATAGGCGCCGCACGCATCACCCCTCTTGTAGCATCCTAACACCTGCGTGAGGGGAAACGAGTGTTCCTCATCCGGAATGACGTATACGGAAATACCGTAGGAAGATCACGGGTCCAGTAGCATGGCTGGGTATCTTGCTTAGGGCGCTGAAGCTAGCGGTAGGGCGAGGGGTACCTGTGAGTATGGTGTTGAGGGAAGGCAGAGGTGCGGGGAACTTCGGGGGTGCCAAGCCATCAAGCTTCCACTCAGCCTTCTTTGTTGTCGAGAGCGAGGTAGCGATAACAACAGCATACAGTGGACAGCGCCTAAAGCACAACTACACCATGTCGCGTCAAAGTATGGCGCCGCAGCGCAATCTGTCGCTCACAGAGGAATTGGAGAAGTTGGAGCAATCCATCACCCTGACGCTGCAAGGTAAACAAAGTCTCGTGTACCCCACCAACGCGACTGACGGGAGCAGAAATCGACCAGAACTTCAGTCGTGCGCATCGCATCGTCACCACTGGTATTTTGCCTATAGTCGAACAGTATGGAAAACACTCGGAAGCCGTGTGGGAAGGGTCCAAGTTCTGGAAGCAGTTCTTCGAGGCCAGCGCCAACGTTTCGCTTTCTGGATACGAAGCACCGGACCAGGACGAATCCGTTGTGCATGACGAGGAGACAGAACAATCTCAAACTTATGAGGAAGAGACTGTTGAGGAGGACGAGGACGAGACTATGACAGGGGCGACAACCACACCACCACGACCAAGGTCTGCCCAAGAGGAGGAGCCTGAATCGACTATCGGTTTCGACTCGCCCTCGCTCGGCCACAGCACTCCACGTGCGCCCCAGTCGAACAAGAAAACCATGCAGATGGAAGGAGACATAAGCGACGGCGAGGAAGAGCCGCAATTTGCTGAGATGTCCTCACCCTACGAGGCGCTCAGGGCAGAGTTCCAGCCCAACCTGGGCGACACCAAGACGCCCAGGTTGGAGCCAGTCACTCCCGGTAAGGGTCAAGCGCTGCCAGATATGAGTGGCTTTGACTCCTCGCCCTTCATGCAGCCAACAGCCACGAAACAACAATCGTACATCAATCAGGATCCGTTGCTGCACCGCGTTCTCGACAAAACATACCGTGTGCAGGCGACGCCCATTATCAGCCCACGAAAATACAAGCCTACTGGCGCATTCACGCCTCGTGCTGCGCAGCGTGGTGCGCCCACTCCTCGGAGTGTTACCTCGAAGCTGCCAGCTTGGACCGAAGACTCTTCGCCGCCCTCGTCTCCTGCCCCGCAATTGCGCGCGGACATCTTCTCGCCTATGAAGACACCACGAACCCCCGGTGTGAGCGTACAGACACCTGCAAAGGGTAAACATCTGATGAGCATCCAGCGGACGGGTGGGACAGTCTTTGATGACAGCGATGAGGAGGAAGATGAGATTGAAATTTTTAGCCCCCCGAAAACAATTCAGTTCCATATCCCTCATAGCAAGCTCCTGCAAACACCCGGTAAGTCTCGGCACAGAGTTACATCTGACACACAACTGACATTTTCATAGCACGGGAGGCCAGTAAACGCATTGTAGACGACCTGTTGATGACGGCTGGAGGAGACATAACAGAAACCACTGAAGGCATGGACGAGGACAGTCCGAGTGTGGTGCGAAGGCAGGTAGATTTTGACGACAGTTTCTAGAAGAGAAGCAAACGACAGGCCACCAAATCCAGCTGCATGTTGCGTATAGAGAGCATTATACCCCACAGTACCTACATAGTCGATCCATCAAACTACCAGTCCTGTACTAGAACAGAGGCCCGATCATGGGCCCCAGGTGTCTTGCATGTGATGATCCACAGTGTAGGGCGAGCTAGCACGAAGCGGGGGTTAGCGGCGGCAACCCCATGCAGTAGCTCCGTCGTCATTCCATCACAATTGCCAGGCACCGGCTAAGCACACGAGAACACGACCGACGCCCAGTTCCTTTGTTCACCTTGTCCCCGCAATGCCAAAGTCGAAGCGGCCGCCAACATCGGGCTATGCCCGGATAGCTCAAGCTGAAGAAGAAGAAGACTCTGGGAGCGACTTCGAGGGCGACCACCACCAAAGCTCCCTGTCCAACACGCACTTTGCCCCTATACAGCCACATCGCAGTTCGGGCATGCGCATGAACGGCTCAGGGCCAAGTTCGCCAAATTTCAAGAAGACGCCTTCTGGACGAAGGCAGCGTGCCAACTCGGGAGTCGACATCAAAGCCATCAACGCCAGATTCGAGCGATGGGCCGACGAAATCGCGCAAAAGTTTAAGATCAAAAAGGGGAGCGACTCGGCAGAGGATGAACCCCTCGAGATACATCACTCCGTTTTCCAAGCCCCAGACTGGGTACGACCAGCAACGGCCGAGTCCCTGACGTTCGACTACGACGTACCATCCGACCGTATGACAAAGCTTGAATTCGATGATATTGTAGAAAGCGTCAGGACAGCAATTGACATGAATATGCACCCAAAGCTCATTACGCAGGGCAGCTCAGGCAGCTACTTTGCGCGGAACCCCCAGGGTAAAGTTGTGGGTGTTTTCAAGCCAAAGGACGAGGAGCCCTACGCGTCACGGAATCCGAAATGGACAAAGTGGATACACCGGAACCTTTTTCCCTTCTTCTTCGGCCGCGCCTGTCTCATTCCCAACCTCAGCTACATTTCCGAAGCTGCCGCATACGTTCTCGATACCCAGTTGCGCACCAATCTTGTGCCCTACACTGATGTCGTCGGCCTCTCTTCCAAGTCTTTTCATTACGATTTTTGGGACAGAAGGGCATACTACAGGAAGCGCAAGCCATTCCCTGAGAAGCTTGGCAGTTTCCAGGTGTTTTTGAAGGGATTCAAGGATGCGAACATCTTCCTCAAAGAGCACCCCTGGCCTGATCAGCACAATACGGGATACAGCGGAGACCGAGCTGCGCGGAAGAAGAAGCGGAGATGGGCAGAGGACTGCCGACCAAGTGGAGTTCAATCCGATGGCGAGGATGAAGAAGAACAAGCCGGCATGATGGGCGAGCACAATCAACGGAGGGGCTTCTGGACACCTGCGCTACAACAGTCCTTCAGAGAGCAGCTCGAGAAGCTGGTCATACTGGATTATATTATGCGAAATACAGACAGAGGACTGGATAACTGGATGATTAAGATTGATCAGAAGACACAGCAGGCCACGATTGTCGCCGAGCCGCCCAAACTAGATGAAGATGTGGATGTTCAGGACCACCAACCGAGCGACTACACAAGACATTCAATGGAGGCAGCGGATCCATACGGACGACGAGAGCCCATGAGTACAGCCAGTCGATCAAACACTCCTAGACAGAGCGGGCCAACGCCTACAGTCACGATTGGTGCTATTGACAACAGTTTGTCCTGGCCCTGGAAGCACCCCGACGCAGTAAGTAAATGTCTCTGACTGTTTGAATATACGTGCAGCGAGCTGATACAATCACAGTGGCGCAGCTATCCCTTTGGTTGGCTCTTTCTGCCTGTTTCGCTCATTGGACAGCCCTTCTCCGAAGCCACCCGCCGTCACTTTCTTCCTCTCCTCACGTCGAAACAATGGTGGAGCGACACGCAGGCAGCTCTCCGAAAATGCTTCTCGCAAGACGCCGACTTCAAGGAGCGCATGTATGCCAAACAAATTGCAGTCATGAAAGGACAAGCCTGGAATGTGGTGGAGACACTGAAGACGCCCGACCTGGGCCCTCTTGAGCTCACAAGGAGAGCTCGCGTATGTGTGTGGGATGACATAGTGGAGATACCGATTGCGGTTCCACTGAGAGCGCCATCGGCAGAGATGAGAAGACGGCAGTCAAGCAGGCCCCCAAGGCTAGAAGAGGAGCACGAAGAGATGGACATTACGGCTGTTTCGACACCGCCACAGAAGCCGCAGCAGGATCTCGTCATGAGTTCGCCTCCTCTGGAAACGGCACTCGAGAACCGTTTCAACCTAGCGCGGGGTGCTTCGTTGCTCGATGTACGCCAGGCTGATGGCCGTCCTAAATCGCCAGCAACTATCAATGACGTATATACGGGTTCACGAACCGTCGATAGGCATACGAATGGACGACCAGCATCGCAGTCGCGCATGAGCTACGAGCCCCCTCGTCGGCATGTGCGCGACAATCAACATCATCATAGGCGACTCTCGCTCACGCATGGAAGAGAGGTTGATGAGTATGGGTTCGACGACGACGGTGATCTGGGTTATGCTGCAAACGAAGACATGGAAGGAAACCAGAAAAAGGTGATTGTAGAACGGCTAGAGATGGTCAAGGGCAAGAATCCGGTATTCACTTGGTGCTGAGCAGGGGTTTGACCGGGCACTGGCACAATGGCATATGTTGTATGAAAGGAATGATTGTTTTGCATGGAAGGCGCGTGAAGGATTATCATGGCACTAAGCATGGGCATGGGCATATTCCGTGGGGCTGCATGGGTGGCGTTTTGTTGCATGTTTAGGTTAGGTAGCAACATGGCAATTGTCCTAGAAGGGGTTGCACTGCGTACCTTGACCCCCCACGTCTGGTGGTCATGTGCGTAGTACATGTTACGAGGTCAATCATCAATTATGACTCGGACTACATACCTTGATCTATTCGAGGCAGTGCTCGCGCAACAAGAATATTTGACGGCCCTTTCTCGGTGTCATCCCCGCACACGTTTGTAGGCCATGTGATGGTGGTGGGCACAGAAGACCTAGTCCACAAATATGGGATTGTTGAACACGCGTCGGAAATGACCGGCAGCGATTAGTGCACGCTGGTGGGTGTCGATAGATGTCGACTGATACTGAACGTGTAATCAACTTGCAAGGAGGAGAGAGGGAGGGGTGGAGGCCAAGGGTCAGCACAAGCAGTGGTTTTCCAGCCGACGACTGGGTAGGTATGCACTCTACGAGATACTCGACACCTAAGGAATCGTGTTCCTTGGACGCGCCAAGCATGCCGCCGTGGCTTCAAATTTAGATACGCATACGGTAGGTAATAGATGGCGTAAGAGCAGCTCCGCTAGGCAATCCGATGGCCTGCATTGAGCCAGGTCCGATGTCATCGCTATCGCGCTGCGAACGCATGCACGGTCTCGTTTCAGGCTTTGGCGTCGTCGTACACACACACACGCACACGAACGGAAGAATCGATGGGTCATCTGACATATCCATCCACACTCGCGCTAGGCCTCTTCCAGCCACACCTCAATCCACCCCCAACAGGCGACCATGAAAGGCAACAGCTCTCGACCCTGCGTGCATCGTTCAAAGAAGCAGGTCTTCGTATGACTCCCGCGCACCACACTCGTTGATGACAGCCGCGACATTACAAAGAGCTCAGCCGCCCAAATTACGGCCGCTTGACTTCAGCCATCGCAGAATCACTGTACAGCTGGAGTAGTCAGCATCACGCGACCTGTTGCTGATAGGGGTGCATTACCGCGGGGCTTTGATGAAAGAAGAGAAGTGAAGGCATCTGAGTGTTCAAGAGACGGATAAAGGGTTGCCAAACAACCTTTCCGGCGTGTTGTGGCCAACATTTACTAGGGCTTGGCATCAGATGCGCTGAGCCGTTGAGCATCACGGCGTCGTGGGAAGAGCTGGGAGACTCACAAGTGAAGTCAACAGGTAAAAGATAGAAACAGACGTCGGGCTTCGGAATCTAGACACCATGAATCCAGCTCTATTACTTGACCCCACGGGGCGACGGAGAACAGGTACGTCTTGTCAGTTTTCTCAGTCTACTTTTCGATACCTCTTCCTCCCACTTGGTATCAGTTGCCACCCAATCAGCTTTGGATATTCAAACGTCTTGAAATGTCAGACACAAACTATGACATGGAAACATCTGGCACAGGCGTGGACATGGTAGACGACGCGTACCCGGGCGCGACGTCATGGGCTTCACTTCTTGCGTCTGGACCCGATGAGCTTCTGTTTGATACACCACAACCAGCTGGTGATGATCTGGACTACTGCAACCTCGAGCTGCCAGATTCCCTCACATTCACCGACCCAGAGCTAACAACGCACGTGCCAGGCGAGACCACAACTCACCATAACAACAGCCACGGAGTGCCTGTACCTCAGATAGCTCAGTTCGATCCTCAAGCACTACTCAATCCCAAGACTGCAAATCCAAAGCGTCCAGCATCTTCTGGTGGAGACGCTGATCGCGGCCGCATCGAGCCCAGCAACATCGGCCAGGTCTCACTTGTCGAGCGTTTGCACAACATCCAAGAGCGCACGGCATCACCTGCAAAGCGGTTCAAAGCCGGAGAAGTACAGACGAACACTCCACATCGAACGAACTTTAGCGGTGGAAGCGCCCTTGATCTTCGGTACCACCAAAATTCTCCCCTAGCATCTCCACCGCAGCAAAAGCCGTCCATTGATCTAACCATGAGTGAGTACAGTATTTCATGAACAAGAAAACAGGACTGACAGATACTAGGCGACGACGAAGATGAAGTTCAGATAATTCAAGATAACAGCAATGATGAAGTCTGCATTGGCAAGCTCAAGCACACTTATATTCAAGCACATCTCGTTCCTTTCCCAGATCCCAAAAAGTTTGTCGGAAACCACGGTGGTCAGAGCCGAATCAAAGTCGCTTTTCGCAGGGCTGGCAACAAGGGCAACCAGATCATCATGGTACTTGACGGCATGGGCAAAGAGTTTGGTAGGGTCGATATGAAGACGGCACAGGGACTTACTCCTCTCATTGACAGCGCGCATATAAGCGGTCTCAAATGGATGGCCTGGACAGAGCCGCGTCGCAAGCTTCCAAATGAAGGACCACCGGGAAGCAGCACTTCGGCTCTTATCACCATGACACTGCAACTCTACTGCCCCCGCAAGAATGCAGATAATATCGGCAAATTTCTCAAGGGCAAGAACCTCATCCTAGAGCGTCCCGTTTTCGAGCTCGCGCGCCATGATTACTACAATCCGCAAACCAAAGAAGGGTTCCAGAAGAGCCAAGCTTCACAGCCTGGCTTCGAAGCGCCTGCACCATATGCGGCTATGAACAACTACGTGGTCCGCAGCGTCGACGAGATCCGCCAGGAAGTGGATGATGTCTTTGACACAGTTGTCTCCAGCTCTGAAGCGGTACCAATGCGGAATCCGTCACCACTCATCAAGACCGAGTTATACCCACATCAAAAGCAAGCGCTTTATTTCATGGTCGATCACGAAAAGGATCATTCTTCCCAAGAATTCGATCAGCGTAGGGATCCAATGTGGACGACCAAGACTCGTGATAACGGCCGGATATCATATGTACATATCATCACTGGCGAAGAGAGAGCCCAGAAGCCAGTTCCGAGCCTGGGAGGTATACTGGCCGATGAGATGGGACTTGGAAAGACACTTAGTATTCTGTCACTCATCTGCGACGAAGCCTCCATCACTGCCGCTCAAGCATTCAGCCAAAAGAAACCGCCTCCTCGCCCCCTTCCTGCCATGATACAGCCTACCATCAACACTCGAGCAACCCTTCTTGTATGCCCACTCAGTACGATGACTAACTGGAAGGAGCAGATCAAGGAGCATTTCCCCGAAGGTAATGGTGCATTAAAGTGGACGCGATACCATGGAGCCGAGAGATTTTCCATGACCCCTGAGAGGCTAGCAGACTATGACATAGTCCTGACTACCTATCATATCATCGCCAAGGACATCATGGACAAGAAGCGTGCCCTTCCTTATCTCAACTGGTTCCGCATTGTCCTTGATGAAGCTCATACGATTCGTAACCCAACAAACCAGTCCAAGGCCGCTTGTAATATGATGGGCCAGCGGCGATGGGCTGTTACGGGTACACCAGTTCAGAACCGACTTGAGGATCTTGGCGCACTCTTTAACTTCATCAAGCTCAGACCATTTGATACCACTGCAGGCTTCAACACGCATATACTGAACCCCTTCAAGAGTGCGGATCCCAACGTGGTAAAGCGACTACAGCTACTCGTTAGCACCGTGACCATTCGCCGCACAAAGGAGATCATCAAGGAAGAGGTGCCCAGGAAGCTCGATTATGTCGTCAGGCTGCAGTTTTCTAGGGAGGAGAAGCAGTTGCATGATTGGTTTGAGAAGGATACGCAGCGAAAGGTTCTTGCTGTTACCCAGGGTGACAAGATGGGCGGAAAGTCTTATGCACGCATTCTCACGGCTATTCTCAACCTTCGCCTTATCTGTGCACATGGACGTGACTTACTCAGCGAAGAAGCCTTGAAGACCACAGATGGCATGACATACGATCAGCCGATGGAGATTGAAGATGATGGTCAAGAAACGCCCCAGCTTACGCGTCAACAAGCATACGAGATGCTCAACCTTCTCGAATCTACAAACGCAGCTGATTGCCACTACTGCCCAGGCAAGAAGTCGATACTAGACGCTGACCCTGATGACGAGGATGAAGAAGGAAACGTCCAAGACGTCATCGGCTACATGACCACCTGCTACCACCTTGTCTGCCCCCGCCATCTTAAGAAGTTACGGGACCAGTGGAAGAGTCTCGTCCAACCCGACGGCTCTGTCCGCTGCCACATCTGCGACGACGTCAACCGACCCGCTGCCCTGGAACTCAAGCGCGCGGATTTCTATTCCTACCTCGAAGAGCAAGACCGTATCCGCAAAGATCCCAAGTTGGCCAAGAAAATAGGCAGTTACACAGGTCCTCACACAAAGACCCAAGCCCTTCTCAACGACCTGAATGAGTTCCGTCGCTGGAGCGATGAGCATCCCCATGAACGTCCTATAAAGAGGTACGTCTACCCACCATTTCCACATCCCTCATCTAGATTTTCTTTTACTAACATGCTACACCAGCATCGTCTTCTCCTCCTGGACCACACATCTCGACCTCATCGAAATCGCCCTCAAAACGGCTGGCCACGCCCTCGTTCGCCTCGACGGCCGCATGACCCGCGACGCCCGCGACAAATCCATGCACCTCCTGCGCACCGACCCCGCTATCCGCGTCATGCTCGTCTCTATTGGCGCTGGCGGTCTCGGTCTCAATCTCACCACCGCCAACAAGGTCTTCATGATGGAACCGCAGTTCAATCCCGCGGCTGAAGCCCAAGCTGTGGACCGTGTGCATAGGTTGGGTCAGGATAGAGAAGTTACGATTAAGAGGTTTATTATGCAGGATAGCTTTGAGGAGAAGATGTTGGTCCTGCAGGATAAGAAGAAGGCGCTTGCGGATTTGACCATGGCGAGGGAGAGGCGGAGTAAGGAGGAGGCGACCAAGGCGCGGTTGGAGGAGTTAAGGAGTTTGTTTAGATAAGGGGTTGTGGGAGAGGAAGGCGGGATGCAGAGGGTGAGAACAAAGGTGGAGGAGGATGACGACGAAATGAGTGCCAGGACGCGCACAGCGAAAAAAAAACGAAGGCATCAAGGAGCGAAACCAGCGATATGAATGATGATGAGAAGTCACATGAACGGGGGTGGATGCATATACAAACATGATATTTTCCGGGGATCTTATTGGGGAAAGTAAGGCACACTGGGCTTTGAAAGGGAACCGGGGGGGGAGAGGTACCACAAGCATACGACTTTTCACCATTCTAGTCGTTTCAACTGGTTCATTTTCTTTCTTTCTTTCCTTCTCTTTCTTCATTACAAGGTGTTTGAGGCGTGTACATGGCAAATATTCGAGTCGGATGGGTTGAAACGGTGATTTGTGTATATGGGTGGTCGGGCGGGCGGGCAGGCAAAAGGTGGGTAGGAAGGTGGCTTAAGGTGGGTGAATGGGTAAATAGGTAGGCGCGCAAAGGGGGGAAAGGGATGGGAAATCCCCATACACCTCTTTTTGTTTTTTGCCTTTTTCGGGTTTCAATCATGGCAGAGGTATATGTATGGTTCTGATTACATACATTTTATCTATATAGAAATTCCTTTTTTTTGTTTTGCTTGTTGAACTTTGGATTGATGTTGTGAAGATGAAGGTGGTGGGAGGGGGATGTGTATGTGAGTTTAGTGCGAGGATAGTGGGTGCACCTGTCTTTTGTGGGTCATTGAAATGTGCGCTGTGTTGATTGTGGTGGTTGGAAGTATGGAGGGTTGCGATGGGGGAATGGAAGTGAGGTGAGGGAGTGGTGGGATTTGAGGAGGGGGTTTGAGGAGGGATGGGTTGAAGTGGACGCTTGAGAAGGTGCGATTTTGTTGGGTAGTATTGGGGATGAGTTGGGATGAGGTTGTTTTTAGATTTTGAGGAGGGGATGGTGAAGAGACGGCGGAGAGTTTTTGTAAACGTTTTTTTCGGCAGTACCGCAATGTTGTAGTGTGCATATGTATCATGGAGGAATTTGGTGAGATTGTATGACGGGTTTGTCCTGAGATTTACTTTGGGAGCGTAGGGAAAGTCGGTTGAGATGCTTCATTGGCTGTATACTAGTCAGAGGCCGATTTGGGACCGTCCGGCGATGGTCATGCAGATGATTGTTGGTGGAAAGTAGAGGGATGTTAACATAATGAGGCGGAGATATCGATCTGTTGCTTTGGCGAGGGTCTCTTATTGAATAGAATTTGGTAGTGTTTGTGGATCATGAAAGCAACTAAGATCGGTGCTACATAAGCCTGGGCGGATGAGGCGGTCTGTACGACGGTAAATGTAACAACCCCCCCAGGTCTTGTGTCACAATCACTGCATCAATCTAGCAACTGCTAGCGAAAATGAGTAGATGACTTGGCATCTCGGCCAACGTTGGCAATCGCGCCATGTTCTTCTCCCCTTGTACATGGACCAATCCCATGTAATAACTCGCGTTCGCCAGTCGCTATGATACAGGCGCTCTGTTTGCCAGTGGATTGTTCGTAGCAAAGACGTGGCTCGGCTTTTTTGTGGGCGTAGATTGTTTTCCTGGTGATGCGAGGATATGAATTCTGGCGGCCAAGCTTCCCAACACTTCATCGATGTTGAGCCTAAACTCACTGCGAGGGAGTGTTCAGTTGCACTGATGATCCAAAAAGCCAGCTCAGCTCGCGCTATGTGGGAAGCTTCATATCTTGACTTTTCTTGGTTCACTTTCATCACTTGCGCCTACATATCCAGCGACAGCCTTTCGATCCTGCTCTCAAGATCCCTTGCACCTTTTATTACCTATCAGCGTCGGATAGATTTCAATTCATCCCGAGAGAACTAATTTCTTCAATCACAAAGACACTCTAGTTTGACTTCATCTCAAGACACTCCACTGCAATGTATCCTGTGATACCCCGGCGATATCGACGTTATGGAGGCTACGCTTCGCTATACAACCCTCCCTCACCATTCGATACGCCCAGCTTCAGATATTCTAGTGGCACTTCTAGTAGCCTCAATCCCTTGAATACCGACTGGAAAATGCCGAACATCAATATAGCAACCAATATCGAACAAGCTACACGGCGACACGTTGATACGCAGCGGGAGTACGAAAAGGCGAGAGAAAAGTTCGAGGAAGCGAAGACGAAGATGGAAGAGTGTGAGAAGAACATGAAGGATGCTGAGCGTTTGCTTTATTTTGCAAAGTATCGAGTGCCAGGTTGGTGACGCGAGTGATGTTGCTAGTATGAGGGGTGGCAGTGAAAGCGAATAAGAGGGGTGATATATAATCTTGCGACCTCGAGTAGTATCTTTGTGCTTCTGGGAATCAACATTTCCGCGTTTCGAACACAGCGGTGGTTATCAACAGTAGCCAAAGGTCTCTTATATGAGTTTGCAGTGATCGGAATTTCGAGTTCTGTTCGGTGTCATCGCCCGCTTTAGGTGATCAGATGAAAGTTTTAGTGGGTTCAATTCGATCTTGACGATATAGGAGACGTTAATATATAACCCAGAAGACGTGGTGTCATTTGCCTATACTTTGGAGGCTTGTTCGTTCTGTGTGAGATGACATCATCGTTTCCATATCTCCCTATCCCAGAGCCATAATCGCATCTGCTAGTATCTTTGGCTCGTGAATACGTAAGCAAAGTGGTCTTTGGCAAGCGATTCAGTCTAACAGTACTGCTTTTGGGATTCTGATATCAAATTTACTCATATATTCTTGATAATCAGATATTTTGACCCGAATGCCCTTGTAACAAGATAACCTCCGTAAGAGTAAAAGTTCAAATAAATCGATTACAGCTGGAAGGATATGATGGCAGAATTGCTTTTTATAGCCTCAGGCTTCTGTACGACAAAGGCTGGATGGCCAACAAGCAGAGCTTACACCTTCAACTTCTTACTATCGAATTCTGAAATCCCGAACTCGATTATCGTGGCTCTCAATAAACTCATCACACAGAAAGAAGACAGTAGACGGAACCCTGAAGCTATCCCCAAATATGTGGCAGTCTCCAGTAAGAAGTGTCCAGTTCTCAAATTGGTCTGGTCTCAACAAGCAAGGCGCGTCAGTACCCGAGAGTATGCAAACTACGTTCTCTCGCTCCGCACATGCAGGTACAATTATCAGTTCTTTGTTATCCATAACGCCGATCCTACATTGGTTGAGAGAGTTAAAGAAATGACCAGCGTCCTCATCGCTGATTGACATTGACTCACTTGGCTTTACTCATGATTCGTTAATTGCATTCTCGCTCCGTCAAAAGGGGTACTACTTACATCCACATTGGACCAAAACCGACTTAAGTGTGAGTGAAGTTTATGGGTATCTATAGTAAACAGAGCTAACTGATCAGCCAACTAGGTCGGTTACGCGCTAGCGCTACGACTTTTGCACTCACCATTCGTAATCGCTTTCCCAAGTTGACTAGTCATGCCACAATTATTTGATTTGCCATCAACACCCGAAATGCTTTCAGAATCACCAAGAAACGATAAAAGTGCCATGATCTGGTTCTTTGCGTCGTTTGTATCTAGGAACATGAAGACCTTGCTAGTCTCTTCTATACGCGCATACTCACACCCTGTGACAGATAGCTCAAGATGTTCACTGCTCCATTCATTCAGAACCGGGCGAATCTGATGATTTCGGTTGTCTTGAGACTTAAGTTTTGGAGCAGCTCGATCGAATGTGTCCTCCAGAGATTCAACCACAAAGTAATAGAAATGGAGCGGGTCATCCTGGGTCCAATCAGGAATCCATGAGGGCATGTTTCTCTTGTGTGGGTGGTGAATGGCGGTGAATATTCGAAGCCCAAGAACTGGCAGAAGGAATATTGCAACGTTCGTGAAGATCTGCTCAGCAGTTTGTGTATAATCGATCAAGTGCTCCATCTTTGACTGCCCAGGACCAGTCAAAGACTTGAGGGCGAAGATCTTGTCTCTGGAATCAGTTGCCAGGCAATTTCGGCTTTCGTATAGCCGATTCCATAGACAGAACTCGGTTGTTGAGTAGTGTTCTGGTGCTAGATAGATGAGTTTCAGTGGCAAAGGCCAAGCGCGGTCGGTCACATTATGGTTTGAGTGATAACCAAAGTGTAGTTCTTTGAGAGCATCAAAAGACACGCTAGAAGAACCACAGATGATTGTGACTGAGGCTTTCGAGAAGACTTCTTGTAGAACCCAGACTCTTTTAAACCACGGTCTTTGGTAGAATGTCTGGAGTTCTTGAACAATTTCTTCACTTGGACACGGTCGATCGCAGCCTCCTGTCTGCCTAAGCAACTCGTCCGCCGCTGTCAGCTCATTGAACAAAACACGGCTTCCTGGTGTATGTTCGCCAAGATACACCAGGACATTGGATGCGCGCCAGAAAACCTTATCCATGATCCGAACTTGGCAAGCCCGCTCTGCCATATCTCGCTGATTGATACAAATGGCATCGATCCAAACCAACCGGTGCTCGTGTCTTAGCCGCAGGTGCCGAAGGGCTTGGTAGCAATTCTCCCCTACGCGTTGCCATTCCCTGCCACCATTCAATTCAATCTTCTTCGTGGGATTGCTATCGCCCCAGGTGTAAGAAAGTGCCTCGTATTCGAGAGACGCGTCGGATAGTGATGCATGTTGAATGGTGCATGCAATAGGGTCTGAATCTTTCAAGCTGGGATGCAAAGTCAGAATCCGAAGAGAGTCATTGCTTTGCAGTGGCCGATATCGATGATAACGCATGTTGATTGAAAGATATGGATAAATAATTGAATAGAGAAGGAGTATATTGGAAATCGGTGGATGTTAGCGATGTCTAGGCATCAGCTCTGCTATGCAACTAAGCCCTTGGCTGCATCTAGCAGGTGGGGTTATTCTAGCTTAGGCGTTCCATACTTCACTGGCTATACTTCTTGAATAGAATAAGTGGGGCTAATAAACTGCGACGCTGTGGCGCAAAACAAGGCTGTAGCTGCATGCAGAGATGAAGCCGCTTTCACTAAGCACTGTATCGCCATATCTGGGCTTCGGACGCTCTGCATGACTCCAGTATTGATCAATCGATATCCAAATTTGTGACGTATCCTGTTCTACACCGTCTAGACTATACGCTTCCAGTGCCTTAGTTTTTCGCTTCTATCCACATAACTTCTCATATCCTCAGGCTTTATCTGCTTCTCCAGTTGCATTCAGTCGGCCACGCTCTCTTTTGTCATGGGCTTCTTTGGCCTCTTTAGTTGCTTTCTTCCTAGCGCCATCCGCCCGAACCACCCTACCATTCCCATCCCTGTCGACTATCTAAAGAACAACAGACTTTTTCTTACAGCGAGTCTTGGCTTCACCGTTCGTCTCTTTGAGAATTGCGATATAGTTTCAATCCAGTGCTTGCTTGGCGAAGAATTGTCGGGCGGCATCAGCAAGCTTCTAAAAGAGTATTTTATAGAGAGCCTGGCTTCGCTCGTTACCATTACAAGAACTATGCTTGATCTGCTTTAACAAAACCGTCAGGGGTTCTGGGGAGACGGACATTCCACCACACCAGTTGTTTTAGTACGAAGGCATACGCATTAGCATGACTGTCATGCGCTACGAATCATATCGCTGTCAATGTGTATGTGACGCCTAGTCACCCAGTGCCAAATAACCCTGATTGAATGATTGACAATTTTTATACCAACACTCCATCAAAGATAAAAAGCACTAGTAAGGTCATTCCACATAGTTCTCTTCTAACCGCTATATCGCCTTTTATTTGCTCCTTTATCTACAAACAATGCCACTCCAAAGTCTTACGCCCGAAATCTACCTGACCCACGACCCGATATCCAATAACTCAAGTGTGTTTCTAAAATTGAAACTATGGTTCAATATGGGCGTGATCATAACCCTCATGATGTCCCAGTTCCGACCTACGATCAGAATACAGCTAGTTGGAAGTGCTCTGGGTGGCGTCCAAATTACAAGTCCTGAATGCTTTACATGGACTTTATAAGCGCAGATTTCAATAATGCGTTACAAAATATCAGATACGACATGGTATTTTTTCTGAAAAACGCAGGTGCATAATTAGTGGACATTTACGAGATAACCGGGCAAAATGAGGGCTCACTATCCTACGACGTGCATTGGTCATTCGCGAGCTAAGTGTATGAACAATGCAATGATATAGATGCAGTCTTGACTAAATGTTCTCAGCGATGTCATCAGCAGAGTGAATGTTTTCAGTTCATTGGTCAACTTTGTCGACCATGCAAGATTGCGAAATTGTAGCGCGTAGGCTTACCTGTCTCTTGCGAAGGAACTCTGATAATAAGAGACCCAGCTCTAGTCACAACTAAAAATTGAAAACTGATGAGAGCCAAGGTATTGCAAGGCTGTTACTTCCATCGACTTAGTGATCAGGCAGTGAAGCTTTCCTGAAACAGGAAAAGGCACTATCATTACATCATCGATCGGGACTGCGGGGTGCCTCAGTGGAACAGAATTTCAGTGCACTAGCAGAGAGTCGTCATTAAACTTTACTTGTCCCAGACCTTCCTCCAGATCATTAAATCTTCGAGAGTTCTAGCTGCAGTGATGCACGTAAAAACGTTCTCATTCTTCCTCGTGAAGAACCACCGATTTTCCACTAGTGCTTGCACTCGTGTTTGTACTGGGAGTTGCTCGTCACTAAAGCAGGCCCATGCTTGTTCATAAGGTCGTATGTTGGGTTGAAGGTGTGATAGGTCCTCATAAACAACGCCATACTTTTCTAATAATGCCTTCATCTTTACCCCTGCAGCCTCCGAAAGTTCTCCAAGCAGTGGGGTCCAGACGGTCAATTTATTGATCTGATTTGGCAACTCCTCGAGTAGCCATTTCTGGTATTCTTGAAGGTCGGAATCTAGTTCCTGCAAATCGTTCTCACTCAATTTCATGAGGTCACTCCAAGAAGCGCCCCCAACCCGTATAACAGATTGTGATTCTTTATCATTGTCATTCCTTTCCGTAATCGCTTTTTGGAGAGTTTTCAATGCTGCATTTTTCCTCCTATCGTAGTCACCGTCTGCATACAGCATGGGCAGCTGCACGTCAAAAATCCCCATTAAGGAATAAGCAACGTCTTCCGGGATCGTTGCAGAGCGGCTCTTGATCCAAGAAAAACGCTCTTCTACGGTAAAATAAAGGAGCTCAAGTCCTTGGAGGGCTCGGATGGGAATCTGAGTCACAGCACTAATCGTAGATACTAGCTCTTTCTTGTTGCCGAGGAATGTCTTTTCCCTGGAAAAGAAGGAGATGGAAGTAGGCGCAATGAGTTCCTGAAGCGTCCAACTGCGTTTGAACCATCTGCTCTTTAAGAATGCCTCTTTCCATTTCATATCAGAAACTTCTGTAGACTCATGGACGGATACATCAGAGAGATACACGTAGCATCTGGTAGAATTCTGATACCAATAGAACATGGAGGCCAATGAATGCTGAAGTTCGGAGCTGGACGATTTGTTGATGCAGCAGGTGTCAATCCAGAAGTATGTTAGGCCATCCCTCACGACTCTCTCTTGACAGAAGCGTAGCTTTTCGTATCCCAGTTTGCTAGTATCATCATATTCTTTTTGTCCACCTTGAATATCCTCGAATTGAACCTCATCATCACTGCGACCCCAAGTATGGGATAGTATCGCATAGACTGGAGTTTCTCCCCCCGAGAACCTCTCAAGGATCCATCTGCGTTTACTAGGATCAAGCCGCAGAAGACGCATACTTAATGGTGTTCATTGAAAGAATGTAGAAAGTTGCAAGGGTGAAAAGGTATAGAATGATGCGAACCCTTTACACAACAGACTCAGTTTACCCCGCACAAGGCTGTGCTGTGTTGCGCGGACAGTTTTAGTTCAACCAATCAAGTCTCAACTAAAAAGAGTCGCTTTTTACTATTTGAATGCTCCTTTGGGAAAGCTTCATATTTGAGTAATGAAAAACCTGTGTTAAGTGGGACGCGTATTTAGTCTTGAATCGCCTAAAACAGCACTGGTACTCAAATATGTCATACGAAGTAAGTAACGTAATCTTAGATACCGAAGATTTTTCGTATAAGAGATGAGAGAAAAAACATGAACGACTGGTGCGTGGAACTCTTTAGCCAGAAGGCGATCAATCTTGTGCATGACCACCTTTGGTATACTCACAAAACGAATTTCATCACAAGAAGCCTAGCTTAATCAATCGCTGCCGTTTGGAACCTGATCATTGACTAAAAACGATAAGATCATTCCCCCGATTGGCTCTTTCTAAGGCAATAAAATCATTGCTCTGCAGACTTTGTCTAGACATGGTTTAGGGTGGAGCGTAGGCCCCCATGTTCCTTGGCCTTTTAACGTAGCCGATTCCAGGGGGGTCTACATCGACTGATGTTTGTTTCTAGAGCGCTTAAACGTCGTAGATCCACTTTTGGACTGCCTTTTCTAACTATACAATCATTTGCATAGATCTCCCAAGACTTAATTCATCGGAGAAAGCTCCAAGACAGGCCCACAAAACGCGACGCTGGCTCCCGAGACCCGTCGCTTCCCGTACTACGGTTAAGGCGCTCAAAATGGCAGGCGTTGGCCGAGAGAACAGGGGTTTCCCCCTTCCCACATTCCTATTGTTTCCTAAATACCCCTTACGCAATTCCTTGGCCACTCATGACTCGGAGGATTTTATTGAGCTATACGAACAGTATTGCAGATCTTATACTGAAAGAGGCAGAAGTCAAGAAACGATAAGACCTGCTTGGATTTGGGACCATTTTTCAATTACAATAGTCTATGCGACAACGGCCATAGTGCAAGTCAAAAAGCGCGTCTAGTCCAGCAGTGTTAGGCAAGCCGCCTCTGGTCCACACGCCTTGCCTTCGTTCACAATGCGCTTCTTCACTCGTTTCACCGCGCTGGTCACAGCCGCAGCTCCATTCGTTGCTCTTGCTGCCCCCGTCGCAGCACCTCCAACGGATGACATTATTCCTGGAAGATATATAGTCCAGTTGAAGCCTGATACCGATGTCGCAGCGGTCGCTGCCCACCACCACAAGGTGCGCAGCATCCATGCCCGCAACCTGGCTCGACGAGGTGACAATTCTCCAGCTGGTGAGCCAGTGGAGCGCGAGTACGGCTTCGGCGACTTCAAAGGCTATGCTGGGTCTTTCGATGAGGCAACCATCGAAGAGTTGAAGACTCTGCCAGAGGTAATCCAGGTCCCGCCATACAATGGCACAACGTAGCAATGCTGATTTCATTGTTAGGTCCTTGTAGTTGAGCCAGATTTCATTATGAGAACTTCCGCGATTGTGTCTCAGGCAAGCCCACCATGGGGCCTTGCTAGTATCTCCTCCCGCACGCCAGGAGCCAGCTCTTATGTCTACGATGACAGTGCGGGTCAAGGCACCTTTTCCTACGTAATAGGTAAGTCAGAAATACCGTGCAGATCTTGATTTGGTGTTGACATGTTATCAAGATACTGGTGTCCGCATCACCCACCAGGACTTCGGCGGACGAGCCATCTGGGGATATAATGCCGTCAGAAACAGTCCTAATACTGATGAAGATGGCCATGGAACGTAAGCCGAACCCCATCTCACAGTGCTCATACCCGTCTGACATAACTTAGTCACGTTGCTGGAACCGTTGGTGGTACCACCTATGGTGTTGCTAAGAAAACCACCATCATAGGTGTCAAGACCCTCGGTGGCAGCACAGGAACTGCATCAGATGTCTTCGCAGGGTTTGACTGGACGGTCAACGACATTGTCTCCAAGAACCGACAAAACACTGCCGTTATCAACATGTCGTTCGGTGCATCTGCCTCTACAACGTGGGATAATGCCATTACTGCAGCCTGGAACAAAGGTATAAGTATGGTCGTATCGGCAGGAAACGAAAATGGTCCCACCTCCAATAGCTCGCCAGCCCGCTCTCCCGAAGTCATCTGTGTCGGAAACGTCCAGAGCAACAACCGGAGACTCAGCGGTGGAAGAGGCTCCAACTACGGCCCTGAAGTGGATATCTTTGCTGCGGGCACCTCCATCGTCTCCGCATCCCATCTGAGTGATACAGGGACAGCCACTAAGACCGGTACCTCGATGGCGGCCCCTCATGTAGCTGGTCTTATCTCATACCTTCGTGGTCTCGAAGGTCCTTCCACTGCGGCGGCCGTTAAGGCAAGGGTGTACCAATTGGGCACGCCTGGTGTCGTGACAGACACAATGGGCTCAGTTAATCTTTTGGCGTACAACGGTAACAAATGATTGTATTTCTAATGCATGTGGATCTCAGAATCGCGTTAATCTGAGATTGTACGATTGAGATGTAATCTACTTCCTGGCTTAGCTTCTTTCCTGTAAATATTATATGTTGAATACCACTTATCCGGTATTATCCAAGTCACTTTTCATGCCTCGAATTTATCGTATGGTTTGCTTAGGCTAGCCTGTCACGGCCGGGACGACCACCAAAAGGGACAAGGTATCAGAACAGTATATGGTACAAGTGTTGTCTATCCCGGTAGTTGCGGAGGTGAGCTAAG